GTGGGACGACTCCTCTACCTCCTGTCGCGAAAGAGCTATAATTCGTGAGAGTCGCACAGGGGCCCAGCCACCCAAGCACAAGTGCTAGAATCGGCATGGGTTGCGCATCAGTGGATACTCCACGTGAGCATCAGTTGAGACTGTCTCGTAGGTTCAGTGGAAACACAGAACCAAGTCAACACGTGGAGCGTTCTTAAATGTTTCCATTTGGGTTGTGCAACAGTGATGGTGCCATTCGGTCCAAAATAGTGGCAGGCCAATTTGTGCGAATTGGAACTTGAGCTGTATCATAGCTATCAATATCGACGATATGAGAACTTGGATCAACGGAGGGCCATAGACAACGATACCACGGCAGCTTTCATGAAAAACTTCCCCTGCTTGACTGGGGCAAGAGTTGGGGCTCAGACCCAGTCGCTTGGTTGGGCGATGTTCGACTGCCATTGGCCCAATGAACGAAGCGTCTGCATACATATGTGTTGTCAGACACCGTATTGATGCATCACGGTGTGGTGCGGCAGAAGTGACAATCCTGCTGCTGTTCTTGGTTGCGGAGGCATTGAGCCTTGAGTCGTATTGGCTCCCTAAGACTTGGAGTTTTGTTTCGGATGAATTGTTAGCAGGTTAGCTGAAGTACCTGGCTAATGAAGTAAGGTAATCCACTTATTGGCTTAGAGAGGCACCAGCCAGCTAGGCCTACTGTGCCTCTTTGGGGCATTTAGGCCCTTTTAGTTCCTCCCAGATGCTCGGGTCGCTTAGGATCTTGTTTAACTAGACCCTGGATTTTCTCGGACAGATCATTCGACTAGAAATGTGCCAAAGCTGCCAGGATGTCAAGAATGTGTGGTTAGATCGCCCACAAATAAAGAAGCCAAGAAGCGGCTCCTGTTTGCAATACTGTGCAAGGCTGTGTGCAAAGAGAAACAATCTGAAAACTGACAAGGCTGAAACAGGCAGATATATGGCATCTTTTTTGCTTGGATACCTGATCAGTATTTCTTAAAGAGATAAAACAGGAACTTAGATGTCGTGGTCGTAGAGAGTGTGGAGAGGAAACCCAGTTGAGATTTTGGAGATCCCGTCTGGAGGTACCTACCCTACCTTCCTTCTCCTCCCGATTTTGATTCCATTAGTGTCAAACAGGCAGCCCCTAAGTACCTAGCATATAAAATCTTTGTGGAAAGGTCATAGACTCGAATTTCTAGCAGACTGACAGCCAATCGAAGAATTCACAATTTTCCGAGCTAACCTACTACCTAGGTAAGGTACCTATAGGACGGAGTGCCTTAAGCACATAAGATAGAGAGAAGATCCAATCAGCTCTCGATCCAAAGTTGCTGCTGCTTTTATCTATGGACGGAATCATATAGCGATAAAAAAAAAGGACTGACAATACAGAATTACACTTTTTATTTAGCTTCCAGTAATGATTTCTCTCTTTGAAATATCTTCCGCCAGTCTATGAATTCTGATTGGCGCCTCTACAATAGTATTCACCACGTGCATTACTCTGTAGGTATATGGGCACAAGGAAACTCAGTGCGTTCTGAGCGAGCCCTTGGAGTTTCTTATCTGTTGCTTTGAATTACACATATGCAGTCAAAAATAAAAAGAGTGAGAGGTGATCTAGCGACGTGTCCGTCCGCCTGACTGATGCCAAATTTCTCGGTTACTCTCCTTCATCTTGTGTTGCCTTTCAGCACAACCTTCGTCCTTCCTGAGCGACAACTTACCAGTCAAATTGGACCAACTCTCCGTACGCCAATCCGACAATCTATCACGCGCCCTACCTGTTTCTGATACGTACAAGGTGCCGAGGACGCATCTTTTCCCTGTCCCTGCCTGTTACAGTATCAGCCACAATGCCATGACATACTATACCTGAGGTACAGAGCGAGTGGAATAATGACCAAGGCGACTCTTGCAATAAAGTCAACTGGATGATAGCCACTGTGCGCGATGACGGCGCTGTTCTGATACCGTTTCATCCCTTCCCCAACGCGCCAGCCAAATCATAGCGCCCACCGGTCCCAGAAACCAAGTAAACGCATTCTAGGGCTGAACTAAACATTATGGACCAGAGCCACTACCTTACATTTAACTATCGCTATCCCCTGAAGCTGAACCCAACTCGAAAATGGCGGATACGGAAACCTTAGCCCGATCAACGGCGCCGGCATCCAAACATTTGCTAGAGGATGATGGCCTGCACGTCAGGGACTTGTCGATTCCACATCGACCAACTATCCCACGTTGGCACGTCACAAACAAGCTCGCTATCATCGCATCGCGTGTGTTGCGCAGCGAAATTGTCGTTACACAACCGTGTCGCGGAGAATATTTCTGATCCATCCCTGAGCTTGGCTTGCGCTCGACTGTAACTAGTGTGTGCTGGGAACCACGACGCTGGGCTCAATCACACCCGTTGGGGTATCGCCGCCACGTTCTTCGGCCTAGACTCAACGGCACATGCCCCGTACGCGTACGATACGAATACTCTGTCTTGATTGCTTGTAAAAGTCTCGGTGTCGACCTTGAGTCAGTTGAGGTCACAAGAGGATTCTGCAATCTCTCCCTCCATCGGCCGTGGCAATCCGCGTGCCCGGTAACCCCCATTGATTCTCTTTGATCGATGACCTCTTTCGCCCATTGGCACCTTGTCCTATCCGTAACTTATTGCTAACCCCTCTTTGGACTTAATTAGCCAAGCCCCGAGCTGCATTCAACACCAGCATCCTGGACGCCTCTTTCTGTGGTTCAATCACAGCCACGTCGACCTTGATTGGATCAGTGGAAAAGGCCGCAGATCTACGGCGTACCTTTGCACAGTACGTACAGTATTCGAGTGAAGGAGGTTCCGTCCAAGGATGATGGAGGGTAGGCAAGGGTGGACATTCCTTTGGGCCCTTGGATCCTGTACGGGGTTGTCCTCTGAGTGGACCTTGGTTACCAGAGCGCAGGGCACGCGGTGACTACCCATGCCATTCATGTTCTCTCCCCCTGGTCAACCTCACCATCATGCTGGCTTCGTGATGGCCTTCAACAGCAGGGCAGAGCTCGCGTTACAATCGTGCCTCCCAGAGGTTGTGGCTTTCCGGCCGCAGACAGCGCGCTCAGCCTGGATAATCTGACAAGGCATGATCAATACCAAAGCGTACAATGGACCCCTTCAATGGAAGACGGGCAAGAAGAACAATCATGACCAAATTCGCCGATTCTCTTCTACACACACTCCGTCACCAAATTTGCAAGTCATCATCCTGCGTGTGTGATTGCACCCAAACAGGGGGGGCATATTGATGAGCAGAGCAAAGACCACCTCCCATTCCCAGCCAGCAGGACAGGCGCAGATTCCAGGACACACACAGTAAGGTCAGTAGCTAAGGTACATTAGCTACCATGACAGGGGACAGGGATCTCCCGTTCCTCTGGCTCAGCATGCTATGCTGTTTGATGCGTTGCTTCTTTCCAGCAGCACGGGGGTGCATTTCTCAATTGGATTTTTATTATTGGTAAGGTTCATATTACAAATTCGTCAAGAGAAGAGCCAAAAAAAAAATTCAATTCCAGGAAGCGTTTCTCCCCTTCCCTTTCTCTAACCTACCCAAAGCCCCAAACTCGGCAGCAAATTCCTCTCCGCACGCCATACGAATTCGAGCTCTACCTCAACCTTCCATAAGGTCTCCCCTGAAAAGACGCTTAGTCTTTCTCGTAATTACTCGCCGCTTTCGCTCAAAGCCCAACGAGTCAGCGGCTCCCGGCACCGGCGACGTGGGGACTCTTCGGCAGAGCGATCGACCTCAAGCTAGCAGATTTCTTGCCTGTGAGCCAAGTCTAGCCCTTCTGGTCTAGCTGGCCCAGTCTAGGCCATCCACACTCAATCGCACTACGACGGAAATACCCCAACTTGGGATTCATTTGCTGTGCTTTTGCTACTGTACAGTAATCGACAAAAATTGCACACGCAAAACTCGCACGCCCCTCTCATTCGAACAAACACACGCTATCCACCAAGGTCGATAAGCGCAGGATCCCACTGCCACTGCCCTGGGTTAAGCTGTGCTCGAGTGTGTTGGCTAGACCATCCCATCCCATTCTGCTGGCTCGCTCGCTCTCCCTCCTGTGCGGTACGTTACCGACTGTTTCGCGTCGACCCGTTGCACTTCGGCATCTTCCAGCCTAGCAAACAAGTCAGACCAGTCCAGTTCGACTGTCATCCAAACCTCGACGCGCATACCTACATACATACAACTCATACATACGTTCGTTACGCAGCTTGACGGCTGGTCCCACCGATAGCAACATTTTTTTGCCCCCAGGCTGAGGAGGGTACGTTGTCAATCACACTCCATCATTCATTTCTGGCCTTGGGACCTCACAAAAATAATTCGGTCCCGCAGCTCTTCGAGTTCTCCGCCATCATTACAGAAGGCTTCTTGCGTAGATGTACGTGTAATAGCATAGAAGCACCCCCCCACCCCTGCAAGGCCTTGAGTCGCTCAGAAAGACGAGAGTCAGTGTATCGTGGGAAGATACACTTTGGCACACCCTCTTAGACGCTAGGCCCTCTTTGCTTCTGGACTCTCGGCAGGGCCACCGCACCAGGCCGATTCCAACATCGCACTATATTAGTGCGTCGCTCCCCAAGAACTACGGGCGACTTAGCCCGACCTCTCTGTGATCGAGGAAAAGCGAACTATCCTTGCCCTAGGCTCCATTCCCCCATCTCTATCTCCCCTCCCCAGCAAGATCCGCGCTCAAGGACTCGGCCTAGGAGCTCGCATCACACACTTAACCATAAACCAACCTTCGGTCTTGCAAACGGCGCTACTACTGCCGCCGCCAACAACATATACTGCCGCGCCGCCGCAAGTCTGGTTGCAAGCGCTTCAGCCATATTGCACTTCTTCCCCTGCTACTGGCAAACACCAACTTGACGCGGGTCTGAGCTAAAAACCTCGCCGGCCATTTCTTTATCATCAGCCCCGTGGAGCTGTAGCATGTCTCTGGTGCCAACACAGCAACCTCATACTTTTGTTGACAACCACGCATCGTTGCATTCTGCCTCCAATATCGCGAAACTTGGTTCCGAGGCGACCCTTGACACGCTCCTCAGCTCTCCCAACTCTATGGAACGAAGTGCTACGGAGTACTCGCAGTCAGGTTTGCCTTCGCCCTATCCAAGCAACTTCGGCGACACCAATTCTGAAGGTTCGAGGGCAGATCACGCATCTGCTGCGCAATATCCTGTCAAGCAGGAAGTCAACTATTCGACCTCAGCCACTCCTACCTCCGAGTACGGTGTCTATCCTCAGTCAGCCCGATCAGGATCTTTCCCAGAGCACGTCCAGCGTTCATACCATCCTGCCAGCAGCACCAGCACTGGAGGTATGGCGCAACAACAGAACAGTCCGTCAATGCCCCAGCAGGATGGGCGTAGCCATCAGACCCATCCGGTCAAATCTGACAACGATGTTCCTATAGATCCGTCCATCGCCGCGCCGAGCCCAACTTACGCTTCGTATGGGCAGCATTCCCCCTACGCGCCTAACCCAGACATGACACACAGTTACTCTCACCCAGGTGGCGGCATGTATGCGCAACCTCGACCAGACTGGGCTGGTTACCCTCAGCACGGTGGTACGCCTTTGACCCCCGGCCATCCAGTTTACGCGCAAAACCCGGCCTCGGCGCCACCTCAAGCACGACCAAACCAGGTATGTTAGGACTTTTGCAGATACTTTCAAGAGTGAACTGGACTGAGGAGAGTGCAATCCGCACACGTTGAAGATGTGAGAAACGTGTTGATTGTTCCAATTTTGGTTCAGCTTTATGAATTGCCTGCTGCTTGAGATATGAGCATTACTAACTTTCTCAGGTTTACTCCTTCGTTCCCATTCCAGGTGCGCAACAGCACAAACGACCTCGGCGACGATACGAGGAGATTGAGCGCATGTACAAGTGTGGATGGAATGGCTGTGAAAAAGCCTATGGTACACTGAACCACTTGAACGCTCACGTTACGATGCAGTCTCACGGACAGAAGCGAACACCCGAAGGTAAGCTGCTCACGATTGCGCAGATTTGTTTCCTGACGAGCAAATGTGCCTAACAAATGATGATAGAATTCAAGGAGATTCGCAAGGAGTGGAAGCAGAGGAAGAAGGAAGAAGAAGCCAACCGAAAGGCCGATGAGGAGCGAGCACGCCAGGCTCAGGCTGCCGCTGCCGCTCAGAATGGAGGTGGCGATCCTCAAGGTCCCGATGGCACTCCTACCTCATCCTATCCTGGTCGAACAGTTCAGCTGCCTCCCATCGGATACCAGCCTGCCCAGTACCCGCCACCACCTTCTGGTGTTCCTCAGCAGCCTCTCCCTGATTATAACAACCATATATATCCGAATTATCAACCTCACTCGCCTTACGCGCAGCCCAGTCAGGGCATTCCTTACCAATGTATGTCGCATAGGTAGAGGGTGACTTAGTGGACGAACTAACCAGGCTTAGCAAACGGTGGTCAACCCCCAAGCCATTAAGACGGATGGTCAAGCAAGGATCAAGGTACTAGAGGAGGAAACTCACCAAAAGTCAGAAAGAAGATTGATACCCGCTGTATTATATTGGAACCATTGCTGTGCTTCTGAGATGTCATTAGCTTGATCTGATGCCACCTTCAGAGAGTATGGCCGATTTGGAGGGGAAGAAACGGAATCAACGTTTTCTCGGCCCGGTAATTACTCCTCTACTTCGACTCGCATAGCCCATTGGCTGGTCCCCGGACTTTCATTGGGTTTCCTGCATATCCTTTCAGCTATTGGACCCTTTCTTCTTGGTTTCATTTCTTGGAGTTATACGTATATGCCCTCAAGAAGATCTTGAGTCAAGGAGTTGCCAAATTCTTTTCATCATCGTCAGGTTCTGGTCAGGGGTAGGTGGTCCTGGAGGTTTGGCGCGTTTATTTGCATTTACGACGATCTGTTATGTTTGGGGGGCCTGTGCAACCCAATTACTGCAATTTGTTGGCGGCACAGGAGGGCATGGCCACCATTTGCTTTCGCATATGTGTGGACAATGTTGTGATTGAAGACATGTTTTTTATGCGACGCTTACTTATTAAACTTGTCATACGGGCCAATCAGGGGGGTACGAATAGATGCATCGACAGTATATGATGACCACAGGCGCGTAACTTTCATTCTGTGAAATGAGTACAACTTTTAAGCCACAAGTTTTGAAAAGATCTTCAACTCGAATTTGCTCCGTGAACAATGATATTGTCATTTTGAGTCTGGAAAGATTAAAAATGCGGAACAAGGAGTAAACTTGTGATGATAAAATATTTATACTTCAGTCCTCAAAACGACTTCAGAATGCGACAAAGACTTAGTGAACCGGTCTGTCGGGTCACAAGTCAGCCCTATCTCTTTTCAAAAGAGGCAAAACCGATCAAGACACATGGGAATGATGCTCAAACCTGGTTAAGCGTGTGTGGCGTGCCGCGGTAGGGTTGTGTTGCACATAATACATACTGCAGATGGGGGTGGTCGAGTTGTGTTGCTGTGTTACAGACGCTAATCTACGCGGATAGTCCCAAGTCCAAGTCAAGGGTGTGAATAACAAAAGAGCCCAAAGGCAAGGATTGTAGATTGGGTGATGGTGGTGATGGGCAAGGCAGAGGGTAGAGAAGGGAAAGGTCGGGTAACACAAGACATGGAAGCGCCTGACGTACATGTGTAGTGCACGTTAGCTTATTAACAAGGAGGGAGAAGAGATGGAAGTGGTCTGATCATGTCTCTCGGCTTTAGGCAACGCCAAGTGGAGGGGCCAAAAGCGATATATCCAGCAGATCTATAGATTGGCGAGAGGCCAGTGTGTGGTGTGTGCGTATGCGTATGCGTAGGCATGCGTAGGTATGTACGTATGCGGTTGGTGTTGATGGCCCCGACAGCCCAGTGGACTAGATAGATACACGAGAGGATCTACAGCTGGGATCCATGTGAGGAAAGGGGAACGAAATGTGAGAAGTTATGGGTGAAGTTGTATTCTACGGCGCTGCTCGAGGTCCATGCATCTACTGCGCATATACAATATGGATACAAATACTGGATAGAGTTTCATGATATAGACAAGGGTTATAATGTAACTCGAGTCAGGAGAGAATTACTCAATAAATGCCACTGAGCGAGAGCCAATGAGTCAGTCCTCTTCACGAAGCACTATTCTGCAATGCACCTGGACACGATGCTCACAGCCTTATAAACCACCGCCGTTGAATGCAGATAAGCTACCCGTGGGTGCTGTAACGTCTCATCGAGAAAGGGGACTAAAGTACTAAACAAGGGGGGCGTGTACAGGATCGCGTGCGAAAAGAAAAGCCTAGCAAGGGGAAATTCCAACTAGAACAAAAAAGCGAGCCAACTAACTTATACCAAGGCCAAAGCGAAGCGAAACAAGGCGAGAAAAGTGCGTGCGTAGCGTGCAGCCAAAGGACCCCAAAGTAAGTGTGTGTGTGTGAGTGTGACTGACGCCGTTGTGAATGAACAAGGGGCCGACGACGCGGCGCTAGGAGAATTTAGCCGCTCATCGTTTAGTACCTACTGAGGTTGCAAGCCCAGCAAAGTGAACTGTCAGGTAACACAAGACAAGAGGAGAGGAGAGACAAGACATGACATGGGCCATGGCTCTGGGGCTGCTGGGGGTCTGGAATTGTTTTGTGTCTGTATATGCATACCCCATGAAACTAATTTTTCGCATGGTGTAGAACTTAGTCTAAGCTCGTCTTGTTAGTTCCTGTGTCTCGGGACGTCAAACCAAGGTTTTGCCTTTACACGCCTGAACGGCAATGGCTGGGCCGTTGAATACGTATCTATCGTATACTTTCTCAACGGTGCGGGGATTGAGAGTCTGAGATGGGTGTGAAGTTTGGTGGATTCAGGTACGTGATACGTGACCATTTGACGGTTTGTCTTGAAGTTCAACGGTATGACACGCTGATTTGGCTGTCGTGTCACAGATAAGGCTGAGGTTACAGAGCACACGGTTAAATTGAACTACATGGTTATATATTGAAGTTGGCTGCATATGCCAGCCCAACCACTAACTAATAACCACAAGTACAGTGTCTAATTTTCCGGGATATTTATACTCTTTATTGTGACCTTGGAATAAATTGCTGTCCTGTTTCATCGTATATATATGTGGGACGATTTCACTCTCATCGCCATCACTGGCCACCCAGAGATTGTTCCACCAGTATACTCTATGCTCAAATGATACTCTATCACAGGAGAATACTTACCTATTAAAGGAATCTATATTCAATAATGATGGTCTTTCTTCCAGTAGACAAAACCCAGTAATACGACTATCGGTCATCCCGAGTCTGAGCCAGGGTTTATGCACAAGCTCTGCATGGTAGCAAACTTACGCCGCACACGGACGCACGCAAAGCATCCTTGACCGGCACTTACGGGATCCATGATAGTGGCAGTGTTTGCTCTAGCATTGATCCATAGTAGGGCTCTACCTCGTTGCGGTTAATGTGTGGTGACGTTGCAGGGAGCCAGGAAGGATGCGATGCGATGTCGAAACAGGGCGTGCGGTGGAGGAACAACCCATCGGGTTTTGGGATGACAGCTGAAAAGATAGTTCTTGGCGGCTATATGATCGGAAATATAGCATATGTTGTTTCACATACAAAGCCTCGACTATTCTGGACTGCTGGGGTAAGTAACTCAAGGATAAGACTATGGAGATGGCGATTGAGTGACCGTGCAGCGTCTCATACATCAGTTTTATTATCGACAGTACAGCAGATTATCAGGTGAGGACACCAGTGGGCCAGATAACCGTTGAAACATCGGATTTGGAGGCTTGCGGGAATGCGGTTCGGGACGAGCACAAGGCAGCCAGAAATCTAAACGTGCTTTTGCTCCAGGTATGCGTCAACCTACCCCCATTGTAGGACCGATTACTTGGCCGGGTGCTTTCGTCTTGACTCACAAGCAAGTGCTGAAGTTTGAGATATCAATGACTTCAAGACTCAAGGAAGTGGCATGACACTCACAGTTTCACATGATAAAGTGCTGCTGAGAAGGCTTCAAAGTATTTTTTGATTGTGAAGATATTCAAGTACTGCATGAACCTAATACCAAAAAGTGGCATTTGTCGTCAAATGATTTCTTTTTCGTCTTGCCGAAGTGATGCTCATAGTAGGTATTGACGAAAAAAGTGGGATAATGCAATAGCAGGCAATCAGTCACCAAATCACACCCAAATCATGCATTACCTCAGCGGTAAATTTGGGTCACAACGGCCTTATTCGATAAATGTGCCATCTCCATTGAAATATCAATTTCCTTGATCTCGTTGTCTCAGAACGTCATTCAGCTCTTCGTGCCTTTTTCTGATGACGTGCTGTCGTGCATAGGTAAGCCGTGCCACGCGGTCAAAGAAAGCCCTGGAATACGAAGAGAATTGCGAAGTCAATCACGCAGAGAAATTGCCAAAGGAAACCCGAAACCTTTGTTGAATTTAGAAGAGCAAGTATCCTAAAGCATCACTAAGTTTAGGTAAAGTACCCACGCATATCTAGCATTGTATCACACACATCTGATAAGGTTTCTGCTAGGTACCTTATTCATTCATTGACTGACGTGGGCTGCCTGCTTTTTTTTTGCTACCCCGCCATCCACCATTGTTTTGTGTCGTATAGCAGCAATATCAGTCACAGCACTGTACCCTTACATCCCATCATATCTCGTACTGTATCGATACTCAGATACCCAGAAACTCAATACCAATATTGGACCAACACTATCCGAATCTTCAAAATTATTAGCTTCCGTCGCCGGCTCCAGAAAGAACCCATTGCCGCCTTATCAAAATAAAATGGAGGGAGATCTCCCGTCCATTCCGTCACGACCTAAGGGTTTGACAAAATCGAACTCAAGCGCATCCTTCGGCGGCGGCTCTGCAAAGTCCGTGTCAGTACTAGGGACGCATCCTCTGGGCACTCTTCATGTTCATCAAGTCAGCGAGACACCTCATGAGCAACAAGATGATGATGGCCCTCCGCCCTTGGATCCTCCCTCGGGACAGAGTGAGAATGCTGTGATCAAGACCTCTCAACATGGCTCTTCCAACCCCTTCCACAGCCCAAGCTGGGAACCCTTAACACACAGCATGGGAGGCGGAGATGTGGTACTCATATTGGACTTGCCTGACGTCTTCACGGTTGGCTACGACTCAATATCATTCACAGCTAAGCACTTTGGTGGCGTCAGGGATATACCACCAGGTGCTCACTTCTTCTGGGTTGCTCACCCAGGAGGCCTTTCTGCCCGGTGTGGTTTCTGGATTGTCACGAATAGTGCTGACACTGTCCATGTTATGCAGTGGGATCGATACAATGAGGTTCTAGGTGACTCAGCCCGTGCTGAAGCCCGCATCCAAGCCGATAATCTCGACACTATTCACTCAAAACTTGTCCCTTATCAAGATCCAAGTGCAGTAAATGCCGCCAACGGTGAACTTACTCAGGCTACCTCACACAAAAATCTCAAAATGTGGGAGCAGTTGACTAGCAAGATCACAGAGAGTCTTCTCAATCGAGTGACGGGGCAGAATCACGATAACTGGACGGTACATACCGGCGATCGTGTCAAAGGCTCGATACTCATGGCTGGTGAGATGGAACTTGACAACTCAATCTCAAACCCTTTGCTCAAGGCCCGCGAGCTCAACTTTGCCTTCAGCCAACGAACCAAAACATACTCGACAGACAATACCGGAGCCGACCGGACCTTAAGAGCCACGGATGCAACTCCTTATATATTGTCGCAGGTTGATACTTCTGATAACGATCTGAGCCCTGACGACGTTATCGGTGAATTCCAGTTCTCTTTCGTTGTAGGTGTCCACCTTGGTAACGATTCATGCATCCAGCAATGGTGGCATATGTTGCTGAAGATCTTTCTCCGTGCTCATCTCCTCCCCCTCCGTCTACCGTCTCTTGCAGCCGCATTCATTCGCACCTTGACGGCCCAGCTCACGTACAGCGCCTCCTGGCTTGAAGGTTCAATTCTTGATACTGCAGAGTCACAAACCAAAGATCTTCGACTTTCACTCACTGTCTACAAAAGACGCCTGGATGAATTTCTGCAAGGCTTGGGGAACAATGCCACATCTGAGCAATTGGCTGTTGCTACAGCTTTCGCAGGACTTGAGGCTGTTGTGACTGGTACACTGGATTGGGACCTTCGCGGAGACTATCTACGCCGAGGAAAAGTCATGATGGAAGATGGCGAGGAAGTCGAGCTGGAGGTTGCTGACCTCGCAGCCGAAGATGAGCGTGGAGAGTGGGCACCAGAGATTGTTGACCTGGATGAGTCTGGACGGCAACGCGACCTTGTCTCGTGGAACGACTAGATATGCTATTTCACAAGAATGCTTCGTGCTTCCAAACATCGGGGGAGACTAGCAAAACCAACAACAGTAAGTGGGTTCCAGACGCTAAGGAAGAAACAGAGCATAATGTGCTACCTTGTGTTTAAGGAGTAGCTTACCATCGAAATGCAGTTGGATTGATCAAACGATCGAGTTTACAAAGCTGGAGTTAGGAGTTGGTATTTGTTCCCGCGACGGCAACGGAGTGCGAAACAATTAGCTTCTATTAATACGTTGAACCCATTGAACAGGCCAAAGTTGAATATGATAACACGAAAGAAGGGTATTGGCTTTGTACCACGACCAGCAGTCCAACTGCGACCTAAGTGACACCCATCCGACTCCGGAGCTTGCGAGTTGCACTTCCACTACTGGATTATCTTGACTCGACGAAGATAAGCCCGGCAACAATATTTGCATGCTCCGGAAATTTTGAAAACAGGTCGTCACATATGAAAATAGGAAACTGAGTATCGGAGCGAGTCCAGCAAAGCGGCAATTCATTAACATCACAGTGCGTAGCAGCACGGGCCGCATAGTTAACTTTGAAGATTTCATTTGCCTGCCAGATCCTTTACAATCCGCCAAAAGCAAGACCATGCAAATGCTAATGGGAAACCCATTCCCAAACCAGGGAAATTGTGACTCCAGTCCCTTTTTCGCACTGCCCATAGTATCCTCCACTGCACCAACGCTCCGGCTCGACGCTTTTTTGCCCCATTCCGACAAACATCTTGAACCGTTTAACGGTAAGACTTCTGGAAGCGAGAGCGGGCACCCTTACCACCGAACTTCTTGGGCTCGCATCGGCGGTTGTCGGCAACGAGGAGGGTTCGGTCGAACTGGACAAGAGCCTGCTTGAGGAGGTTCTTGGAGTGCTCATCGACAAACTTCTGGTAGTAGGCGATCAGGGACTTGGCAATGGCCTGTCGGATGGCATAGATCTGATACATAGTCAGCAAATTGTCTATATCGACGAAATAAGGGCGGAAACCTGGCTGGTATGCCCTCCGCCGCTTACGCGGCAGCGGATGTCTACGTTGGCGAACTTGTCAAGGCCAACAACAAGAAGAGGCTCGTAGACCTAGGATAACAGTGTTAATCTTTGGTTCCGAACAAAACATAACACCATCCGGGAGCATCGTCGTGTCGAATTCGATAATTGAACGACGTGCTTACTTAAACGGTCGAGGGATTCGTGATTCGTACCTTGAAGCGCAAGATCTCGGGCTGGACGAGAGAGAGAGGTCGTCCGTTGACCTTGATGAGACCGCGGCCAGCCTGGAAATTTCAAGTCATGTCAGCTTCTCTGGCTCATTCTCTCATCTTATGCTGGGATTTCGCGTACCTTGCAGTGAGCAACGGCGGTGGCGGTCTTCTTTTTACCAAAACACTGCACTGACTGAGTAGACATGATTGCTGGTCTTGGTGTTGTCGTTGGGCGGCGGGCGGAGGTTGAAAGCGTGGTGATCTTTTGGTGGGAGTTTAGATTCTGTCTCTTTCGTGAAAGGCGCTAGTGCCGAGTGGGACCGTGCCTTTTTCTTAGCCAATAAGAGAGAGACCCACGCACAAAGCCAGGGCTTCGAAAAATTGAGACGACGTGGACAAAATTACATCAACGGGCGTAGTCCTTTTTAGAGTAAGATTTGCACGGTCTTTTTTCCACGACAAACTCACATTTCTCCAAATCCATCGACCCTCGTTAGGGCACTGCACGTGAACACTACGAGCATTGTGAGCCGGACTGCCCACCTTGACAAATTTTCGTGCGTCTAACAACTCACAGCCGAAGTTCAACGTTCTACTAACCGTCCCCTGTGCAGTCGTCAGGTCAGCAAACCACATCTACCATCAACCAAGACGCTTCATTAACATATTACAGAATGGTTGCCGCTAAGCACGTCAAGATCGTCAAGAAGCGTACGTGAATTCGACATTCCTTTGCGACAACACGAGCGACCGAAGGAGAAATGAGTGATAGTCAAAATGCTGACTTGTGTGTGCAGGCACGAAGCGCTTCGAGCGTCACCAGAGTGATCGCTTCAAGTGTGTCGACCCCAGCTGGCGCAAGCCTAAGGGTATCGACAGCCGTGTCCGACGACGATTCCGCGGCACCATTGCCATGCCCTCTGTATGTCGAACCTTTGCGAGGACCGATGAGAATCATGGACTTTTCACCAAGCGGGACGTGGAACTTAGTGCTAATGTTGCATGATTTCAGATCGGCTATGGCTCCAACAAGAAGACCCGCTACATGACCCCCTCCGGCCACAAGGCTTTCCTCGTCAGCAACGTCAACGATGTCGAGCTTCTCCTTATGCACAACCGAACCCACGCTGCCGAGTACGCTCTCCCTCCTATATCACTCGACCAATTGTAGCTAACCATGCTTTCAGGATTGCCCACAACGTCTCGTCGAGGAAGCGAGTTGACATCATTGCCCGCGCCAAGCAACTGGGTGTCAAGGTCACCAACCCCAAGGCGAAGGTTACCACCGAGGTTTAAAAGGAAATGGATCGGTTATTGGGCTGCTTTACGGTTATGCATCGGAAAGGGGTTTGCGTTACTTGCGGTTCTGGCACATAGCTCCATGGCATGCTAGAGAATAAAAAACGCGCCGTTGAACGACAATGATATCTGGCATCAGCCGCTTGAGCAGCAAAATCTCTTTTGAGTCGGAAGTGACATGGAATATATGTCTGATCCACTCGAAGCTGATGAGGACTTCGATGGAGGCGTGGGTGAACATGTTGTGAAATGTGGATGAGACCATGGAAATAAACAAGAAGTCCCCATAAGGGCCCCATCTGCTTCCCCAAAGTCCTCGAAATGTTGACCGTTTCACTTCTACAGCGAATACTGATTATGACGTTGGTGCCTATATAAGCCTGAATCTGATTGCAATAGTCCGCAAGGTTAGACAATCCTGTGGGCGTCTTACCTGGCTATTGGACACAAACGAAATAAGGGATGATGAATGCCTGAGGGCTTTGTAGTTCCCAAACGAATTCGTTAATACAATTCACTGCGTCTTTAAGAAAAACAATACTACTTACCTTAGGTATGTTGAGGAAGCTGTGACTTAGTGACAAAGATCACAGCCTTGAAGCGAAGCAAACTGATGTCCATTAGGACGATATGATGAAAGCCTCGCAGAACCAGCTACAAACCAACTTTGACTACCTACATCATCAGAGCACGTTTCAGCAACGATCTACCTCATAAAAGGTGAAGACTGATGTCTTCATCTGGAAAACGTATAAAGAAGAGTTTGCTTTGATGGTGCTACCTTGGCGGTTGGCAGGCAGCTGCCACTTGCCTCGCACTTGCCCAATCTCATGGCATATCAGCCGGCCATGACGACGAGCCAAACCTCCCGCCTCGTCTTCAGCTTGCAGGTAAGAAGAAACTTCCCTTTCCATGAATTGCAATTTTCCCTTGGGCCCCTCCCGTCTCGTCCCCCTTCCTGGTAACCTCTTCAATATCATGAAGCAACTTTATACACGGCATCGCTTATAGTCAACCAGCCTCTTACGACTTGACTCGAGCTCCTTTACCCGGAACCTTGTCGTCTTCTCTGTATGCTCAAGCATTTGATTAAATGCACCTTCGGAGCATGTTCGCCGATTCTGGCCTTTCCAGCATGACAATGGCCTTTCTACCACCACGGTTGATGCAGCAGCAACCCTATAAACCAACATGCACCCATCTCACCATGACCCGGATTTACGACGCGGACTCTGAATGTTCCTCTTGTCATGAGCCCGGTCAGTTTGGGTGGCTTTACCAGTGTACACAGGATCATGAGAAGATAATTGAAGAGAGACTGGTGAGAGGCCTTCCATGGAAGAGAAACATCTGGTAGACGTTGATAACTAACTGGAGAGCAGCCATGCATGGACTACTTGGATTTCAGCTTTCGCAAGAACATGGTTATTCGAAAAGGCAGCGCAGAAGCTCGACGCGACAAACTTAGCTTTCTTCAAGAACTCACTCCCGAGCAGATGGCATCCTACCGACCAGATCAAATTGCAACTATCCTAAGACAGCGAGAGGAAGTGAGGCAACATTATTTACCTGCAGCTCTCGGAGTATACTAATATTTGTGGTAGTTAAAGGACGTTATTGCAAAGGAGGAACGACAAAAAAGCACCTCCGCCCTGTTTAGCAACCTCCTTCCACCCCTGGGGTTTGAGTCTTCATTCAGTGATAAGGGACAACGGACCCTGGATGAAGATACCCTTTGTCAATACAAGATCTGCCAAAGGTGCCGTCCCGTGTGCGTTGATCGGGCATTTTTGAGTCTCAATGCAGTCGCCGATGGCGAGATCACTCCAACAGCTGCTGCCGGTTTTGGTTTCGAGTCTCTAGGCGGAAGGCCAGTCATTGACAAAGATGTTGTTAAATATATTGACGAGCACCGCCCGAGAGTGAGTTTCGATTCCTGATCATTAATGGCAGATTGTTGACGAGTGCATCTAGCCTCAAATCGGCAATCGTCGAATGATGGCACTGCTTGACGACCAGATCGCCCGTATGCTCGCAACTCATAATCAGAACCAACCTTTTCGGAACGGGCTTAGGGGTACAATCTCTGGACTCAGAGGAGCACGGCAGTTGCCCACTGTTAAGAACGTTGCTGCAAAAAGGCAACGTATGCGCGAAGAGGAGAAGGTCTTGGCCGATGCCGCCCAGGGTGATGCAGAGGCTGTTGCCTCGACGCCTGACTTACTGGGAAACCCTTGGCCATGGCTGGCTACTTTCCGGACACCCGACGAGCATGAGGATGATCAAACCCACGGTCGGCACCCACGACAGAGAGAGCGTGCCACACGGATTCCTCGGTAAGTGTTTAGAGTGATGTTTTAAGCCGGCCTTTTTAACCAAGACGGCGCAGTCCCACTACTCCTGGCCCGAGATCCGCACGTCGCCGTCTAACTGATCAACTCTTGTCTAGTACGTCTAATATCCTTCCTCTGGACGGATATTCATGGAGCCTTTTTGGTGGTGGTGAAAATACTGTCCCGACAACCACCTCGTCCCTCAGTGATGCATCCAATATTACATCGCCAGGGACCGAGAATGGAGGCAATAGCGAAGAACCATCGCCTATGTCACTCGGGACTGACCATGGTGTTGCGATAACAGAGGAGAGCATCGAGGCTAGAGTTCCCGATGTGATGACTCAGGTGTAAGGATGATGGTTAGGAAAAGAGTGTGCTTGGGAAACCATTGAGGGTACAAGACTTGGTGGTGCACTTAAAACTGGTTTGGGGTTTTGCGGCGTTTGAGAAGTTGTCGGACTGGTTGATACTTGGTCGAGTCAGGCTTTGTCTAGAGTCTTGGAACATTTGCTTCTGTGCGAGTATGATTCTTTTGTTAACCTATGGTTGGTCCATCTCTACTAATTATCCTTGGAATTCTCCAATATCTTCTTCATCATTTGATTACCCACCACCTTGGCCTCCTCAAACCGTGGTTCAAAGAACTGTTGAGTACTCACGAACCGCTTCTCCCACGTCTCGAAATGTCCCAGGTTCACACACTCAGCCCAGGCCCGGGCTGCAAAAGTGAACTCCAGATCGTCACTCCGGTACGTCTTATCCTCAATTGCAGTCTCAATGGCTGCCTCAAGGACATCTTCGTTGCGGAACAGGTATTCAGTGACACCAAGGCGCAAACGGAAGAGAGGAGTGCTGCAGAGCATGTGATCATATGGCACAATGTTGAGCGCCGCCCAGCAGTCGACCATTGCAAGAATCGAGAGATGGTTGTTGGGTCGAGGCTCATCAGTGGGCGTACCGAGCGAGAAGGACGACAAGATCGACGGCTCGAGCAAGGGGCGTGTGTCCCAGGTCGTTGATGGACCGAATACCTTGTCGCGTGCCCGGTAGACTCGTTCTCTGAAGCCCTCACGGTTTCCTTCGAGCATGAGTTTGTACAAATCGGTGACGCTTCGTGCATACTGTGAGATCTGCTCACTCGCTTCAGGGTTGAGAATAGCAAGGCCAGCGTATACATGCCACTTTTGACTGTAGATGCGCAACATCAAATTGACCTTGACATTCTCAATACCGCCAACATATCGACTCAGCTCCCAAGGAAATTGCTTGTTAGCATGCCACGCCTTACCCATAGATAAGAAGGCTGCATGGGTGACTGCTTGAGTATCGGCGGTGATACGGTCGTGCTCGCGGGCTGAGAGATGGACAAACTTTGAGCGGAGACAGCTGAGGACAGTCTCAACCTTTCGAAGAGCTGAGTCTGGGGCGCGGTGTTGGATGAGCACAAGGGGTTGGTTAGTTGGGTCAACATTGGGGCCATGAAGTGAGTGGCACGAGATAATGTCGACGTCGGCCGGGAGGTGAGCTTCGAAGGCAGCGATCTCGGGGGACTTGCAAGAGGTTTGACCTCCAACAATGGCACCAAGCTTGGTAGCTGGCCACAACAGTCAGTGTCTAGATGGCTACTGTTTAACCTCGAGAAGAGGCGCTCGAGGGAAATATTCACAAGGGATACGAAGAGAGGGCGCGTACATGGTCCATACTGAGCAATTACACGGTCAATGACGGCGGCCTCGACGCTATAGATGATGTAGTCGCTTGCGCGGGAAACATAGTGGCCATTTCGACAAATTTCTATATTTTTCTATTCGATAGCTTCAGCGACTTGGAGCAAGGCAGAGCAGGCAGGAATCACTAAGCCGTACATTTCCAGCATATTCTTTCTGAAGCTTTTCCTGATTCTCTTCTCTGTCGCAGGCCATGATTCTAAAGTAGATCCGCCGTTAGCCACTCGGCATCCGGTTTGGGGTTGCATTCACAGGGGGAGAGAGCATCTGTTCTTGTAGTCGTTAGCTTTTGTGTCAAGTAGAAATGCTAACAAAATGAGGTAGAAGGGGTGAAAATTCAGACAGTTGATAATTAAGGTAGCAAGCGTTTACATCATTGAGAGCACAGGTCCGATTCTGATGGCCATAACGGACACCAGGCGTCCCTGAACAATGCTCGAGCCAAATGCGCTCTAGTCATCATGAAAAAGAGGAGGGGAGTGGGTGTTGAGGGAGAGTTGGCTTACCGTTTGAAGAAAAGGAGCTGGAGCTGGAAGTGCGAATCACAATGGATCCAGGACTTACCTCCAGCCAGCGGCAGACAGCCTTTCGGCATACATCTTGCCCATGTCGCCCATACCAATCAGTCCGACGACGAAGTTCTCCATCCCCTCGGGGACGGGCTGCGATTGTGAAGCCATATTATCTGCTGCGCGATGATAGCAAGAGCGGGAAACACGAATCACATCCTCTCAAGCGACTGTGCTTTAAAAGAGCTTTGTGCGGAAAGCTCAAAAGAGTGTGTTTGAGAGTGAAGAAAAAGTCAGAGTGAAAAAAAAAGTTCGCGACCTTCTTTATGGTGGAGATTTCAGGCGCGTTACGTAAGCCACCGCTATTTCGCGTTATAGCGATAGGTGGATCTATGAAGCTATCCACTCCAGCATCAAGAGAAGTACGCAGAAGATCGAGAGGAGGAGCTTTTGGTGACTTGCACTGATTCGGTTCATAATTTCGCTTCTTTTTTCAAAAAATGGAGGTCGTGTTTGCGTTAGGCTCAAATGGCTCTGGTCAGTTGGGCATTGGCCACAAAGAAGACGTTTCAGTGCCGAAGCAGGTCCTCTTCCATCCTGACCCTCCAACCTCCTCCATTACAAGAGTCGCAGCGGGTGGGAACCATACGTTACTTCTCACAAAAACTGGCCAACTTTACTGGAGCGGTGATCCCACGCCTGGTGCATGTGGATTGAACACTGGTCCAGATGCAGCCGTGTTTCGAGAGATTCAGCTTACCAAGAATGGAGAATCTCCAGTTGGTGAGATTGCCTTGATCACAGCAACGTGGGAGGCTTCTATCCTTGTGGCTAAAGATGCAGATGGAAAGAAGACTCGAGTTTTTAGTCTCGGGGCGGGATTGAAAGGCGAACTAGGTCTGGGAGAACTCATCGTTCGAACACCATCAGCAACCCAAATTCGAGAATTCCCACCTCCGGGAACAGAAGTTGTGGACGTCGCTGCTTGTATGGGACATGTCGTTGCAGTTCTTGACAATGGTGATGCTTACGGTTGGGGTAATGCGAGAAAATCCCAAGCTGGTGAGCCAGGTCAAGTCCTTTATGCTCCTAGAAAGATTGAGGCCATCGACTTCAAGATCACAAGAGCTGTCTGTGGCAGAGAATTCACATGTCTATTCGGCGACCCACAAAGCGGACACATCAAGGTTCTGGGTTCAGACAAATGGAATATTCAATCAGGTGCACCAAAGACATGTCCTGAGTGGAAGGACGTGGGTTCAAGCTGGGGAAATCTCTATGTACTGGGAAAGGACGGCTCTCTACAAGCCTGGGGACGAGATGATCACGGACAACTACCTCCACCGAATCTACCCGAGCTAAGCAAGATTGCAATCGGCAGCGAACATGTTGTAGCTCTCTCTACCGCAGGCGATGTTCTATCATGGGGATGGGGTGAACATGGCAACTGTGGACCTCAAGTTGATAACAACGATGTCAAAGGCCGGTGGAATACCATTGCTTCATCTAAATTCATTCCCCTGGGCTCTAAAATAGGAGAAGTCGGGGCAGGGTGTGCCACCAGTTGGGTTTTCATTACAGCTGAGTGAATATACTCGTCTAGATGCCACATCTTTCGTCCTTCATACCATTTCCTTGCCCTAGTCGGGGAACAGGGCCAGACTTTCAACCTCTGTCAACTTTTGTGTTGGCTCAATGTATGTTGATTCAGCATCTGTTGGTGGTGGGTGGGGAATTTCGGCTTGGGGTTCAACAGGAGCAAGGTTCTCCAAGAAGCGGCTCGTGTCTATATCAGAAGCGTTCTACTATAATCAGTACATGGTCAAAGGAAGGGATTTTGCAACTTACAGGATCTATGCTATGATCCCATCCCAACTTAGCATTGTCCTCTGCAAGCTCTTCATCCTCGTAGTTGATAGGCTCCCAGCCTTCATCCTCAACGAATAGACTCTCAGATCTGTTAGTCGCAGGTGGTGCCGGTCTCTGAGAGGGTCGAAGGTCAAACGCCCCTACGCGCGAAGCGCTGGCTCTAGCAGCGCTCATCTGTGGTGTTGAATTAGGCTGAGGCAATGATGGGGGAGGAGGGGCAGGCGCGGGTGCTGGTTGTGACTCTGGAGGAGCCATGCTCGGCCGCCGTGATGTGGCTTCCAGACGCGGACCAGTATTCTGAGTTGCGTTCTTGCGCCCTTTCTTAGTCCTCTGGCCAGTGTTGGTCCCGCGCTCGCCAACAGTCATGACAAGGAATTCGCATGACATGGCATCGCCAGTATATGAAAGCTGGATGGGTTGTGTAGGAATTGAGTATCGGGCTGACACATCGTTGCCTGTAATGCCAGCATGTTGAATAATAGCGCGGAAGTCTTTGACGGATATGACAATATGGAGCTTGTCTTCCACATCAATCTCGTCGAATTCATCCGCCTCGACAGCGATTGACGTTTGGAGTGGCTTTTTCAAGACCGCTATTCAATGTCAGCTGATAGGCAAGCATTTTGTCAAGAGATAAGCACCATCCTCGCTCACAGTCTTCTCACTGAAACAAGTAAAATTGACATGATCCCCATCAGTGTTGATATCGAGAAACTCGATACCGGGGCCAAAGTGCTCCATGAGCTGCCGCAATGTGCGTGAAGAGATTGTCCAGTGGTGGGGGGCATCTTGTTTGTTGAACTTGGCGTGGATTGGTACAGAAGCCTCGAATGGGAGACGGTGTGTAGATGTCAGTCCATTTCGAAAGATGAGACGTGCGATGAATCGACTTTGAACTCCCTCTCCATCTTCAATTGCAACATCACATCTGTCGATGAGCGTTTGCTTCTCTGCATCCCTTTGTGAGTCAGGCGCCGTACGGCTTCGGAATAAAGAGATTAAAGCCTTCAGGTGGTCAGCAAGATTTATACAATGAAGGAGGGGAGTGGGCTTACTCGGATATAGAGTGTACAGTAGAAACGGTCACGAAATTGGCGATTTCCTTGGTACTGGTACCGGGAGAAGAACTTTGTCGTCGCAAATCTGACACTTGCGTAAGCAGATTTTGAGGTGTTGAGAGTAGTGAGAATAAACTAGAGTGATATATGAGTATTGGGCTAGATGGGAGCCTTCTGGCACATGTTAAACATACTGAATCCTTGCGGGCCTCGAGTGAAACGTCGTCACTGAACTTGTTCAGGCAAATGAGGGCATCGCGAAAAGCGGAAACACCTTCCTCACTGAGGGTGAAATTGAGTAGCGCCATGACGCCTCGAGTTGTTCAAATGGCTCATGAATATATTTTCGTCATGTTTGGAGACAGTTGTGAAGTCAATGTCTTTAACTTGAAATGGCAGGCACGCGTTCACGCTGGTAGAGAGTTGAATGTGTGGATCCGGAACCCCACTAAGCTTACCCTGTAGTTAATGATCAAACACCAAGAAAATACATCATCATCACAGTCAAGTTCAATTTTGTGCAAAGTCAAGTTTTATTAGGAGGGACAATCTAATATCTATCCCCCATCGACCCAGAACTCCTAAGAACCCATTCCTGTCGTGTCATCGTTCCAGTGTCGTCAAGACGTTTGTTGTTCCATCAGAAGATTGTTGAGGTGCAGCCAAGTGACTACCTATTTTAGGTACTTAGCGACGGAAGCAGCTGAACTTTCCGAGAGAGAATCGCCAAGGACCCCGTCGGACGCCATGCTTGTCAACATGAACACTGGTGCCGAAATGGCGACCGCCGACTCCCTTTGACCAGAAAAGACCCATGATTTTGTTTTTTTGTTTGTTGTGCAAGTTTGAAAGTGCAGGTTGTCTAGATGAATATTGTTAGCTCAGGTACGGTTGACGGAAGGAAAAGGCTTGTATTCACCTTTGTGTGTTGAAGTTGAAGAGATGTCGTTGAAAGAAGCTTGTTTACGAGGAAAAATAAGGTGTTGGGGGGTTGCAGATCAACTTTATACGACATCTCAGCCCAGTCCAATCGCTGCCTTGGCAGGGACCGTGGAAGAGGCCTCTCTGTAATTCGATCTACGATACCTCACCAGTGACATCTTTTGGCGCTCAGTGACGTAGGCTTAGTGGCGGTGTTAAGGTCGCGCCACACATGATGTACGTGGTAAAGGCTGCCCTCCTTGCACTTATTCTTTATCACTCTAGTTCTGGCTAAAAGAACTTATGAACATGAAAACGCTGAATGAATTAAATAAAGAATTTTGTAAGTTATCTTCTATCAATCATTTGCCTGAAGGTGTTGATTCAAATATTGTCTCCCCTGGTAGCGTATCTTTAAATGCCTGGAGAGGCCCTTAGGGAGCGAGAAAACTTACCATCTCCATCCTCAGACATGAGGAGATTTTAGGTAAACCGTTAAATTTAGGGTAGATTTAGGATACTTTTAGATCAGATATTCCGGCACTTGGGATAAAGAAGGTCCTAAGTTTTGCCTCCCTCAAAGGGACGGCCCAACATGGTTGTTCCAAAATCAAGCTTGATGCATGTAAATCTTGCCTCCTTCTATCCAAGTGAAACACCATCAACGAAAAGCCACGATAATCCCACCCTGAAGCCTTCGATATCTACGCGTCAACACTCTTCGATTTCTATCACTCAAGTGAAGCGTTAAAGCGGTTCTAGCGCTTGTGGTAACAAGGAAATGGGTTTCGCGTCCGACCTTGTTTGCTTCCCAGAAAATGACGGCGAATGGAGTCCTCAACGACCAGATTCCCCTCGTTGCTTCTTGTTCGCCAATCAATAATCATGACATAGCGCTTGTTAGGTTGCTGTTCACTTCCCATTCTTAATCAGCCTTACAGTACAGGCGCTTTGTTACTTGGTGCGACAGGATGCCACGGCATGAGTATCTGTTCATTTAATGCCCTTATGAGGTGCTGATGCATCCTCTGCGAGAACACAGCTTCTCAGCGCTGAATAGTTCCTGAAGTCCATCACAGTGGGTTGCCGAAGATATGAAGAACAGTGTATCTCCAGTCCAGTGGCAGACAAAATCATGGGATACATAATTAGCCACTGGAAGCAATTGAAGCATTTATCATCCCCAACTTCTCACTCAGCACCACACAAACAAGTAAAATCAACACCTGAAAATAACTTGTCAAAATGGCCGATTCTTCCGCTAAAACTCCTACTGAAACTCCTACCAACGAGCAGCAGGGTCTTCGCCGCCCGAGCCGCTCAACCCGTGGCCAACTCAGCCAGAACCAATTTCTCCTACAGCACTTTGTTATTGGAGAAGAGGCATCTCGTCCGACTCATGGGCTTGGACGTCGCCGTGCCATCGCAAAGCCCAAGGTTGATCATGACGATAAGTCGGGTCCGCTGGCACAATCAGCGCCCATAGATCCCCACAACTCACGTCGGCATAGAAGACAAAGCCTGGGCAATAATATTTCTAATCTCGGGAGTCATGAGGAAACACCGGCCGGCTCTGAAGGGGCGGTAGCCTTGGTAAGCCCTCGGCGCAGCAGTGTCCCAGCAGCTTCTCCTCTTCCAACCTCTATTCAGTATATTGGTGATCGTCGCCGAAGTGCCTCCCCGCCCCAGTTGGCTTCTTCAAACATGAGAGACCGTCAAGACCCGGCCCCTCAGCAGCGAACAATGCCCGCTTTCCCTTGGGAGCCAGCCTTTCAGTATGGATTTCAATTGTCTCCTCAGTATCAGCCACTGGGGCAGCAGCAGATCCCATTTTTCACAATGCCTGTGCAACCTGGTCAGATGGCTCCGGCTCAACACTTTGAGCAGCAAGCTCAAGAATCTGCCTCTGATGCCGCCGGAGTCTTTGTGAAACCAGCAGATTTGATGCTAGACAGACAGGATCTGGTGAATCCCCAGACGAACAGTATCCCGAAAACTGAAATTCCCCAATTTGCAGAACTAGTTGACTCGTATAACAAGATTCACGAGGAACGTCGAGCACAGGAAGAACGAGACCGTCTGGCGGCGCAAGAGGAAAAAGACAAAGCGAAAGCGGCAGAGGCGGAAGAGCTAAGCCAGGAGGAGATGGACGCATTGTGGGATCAGTTCATGGATCCTGATGCTTTCAAATGATACCATTCACAAGGTAAGTGTACCACTAACGTGATGTTACTGATGTTGCTTTTTCAGAGTCTTTTCATGCGAACGGCAGATTTAATCACCAAAACTGGTAGTTTATTTCACAGGTATGTTTTCCCTCAAGGATAGGATAGCTTGGCTCGTGTGGGATCTACGTTAGGCAGTGCAAAACGTTGGTGGATAAAGGCAGGGACTTTGCTATACGCCCTCTGGTACGGTAGGTAACGGTAGGTGAAAAACAAATAAAACTAACAAGTAAGTCTTGGACCATGCTCATCTCCTAAAACAGCCTCATGTGAAGTATCTTGTGTGACTCATGAATCAACCCCCTGTAGTCCAGCGGCTACTTGGAATGAAGTGTCTTCCATCCCGCAGCGACCAAACTCTCATGGCCTGCTCGGTCGCCAGCACCGGTCCAGTAGAACAGACCGCCCAGGCCCATTGCCTTGGCATACCTCGCCTTAACGCAAACTGTGCTAGGAACATCGAAAGAGACAAAGCCTTTGTCTCCTTTAGTATCGACAAAGGATGCCGCTGCAACGGATTCATCCACTTTTGCGCCTGCTACCCATTCATCCGATAAATCGCAGTAGTCAATTTCGCCCGAGCCCTTGAAAGGATGTCCTGGTCCACGGGCCTGTCCAAAATATCTGGCATATACTGGAATGCCGAGGATTATTTTACGGCTGGGGAAACCTTGCGAGGTCAGGTAGTCGACACCGCGCTGGCATGACTTGCAAAGGGTGGGATACACCTCGTTTAGGTTGTTGCTTGGAGGCAGCAGCTGTGCGTGATGGCCACAGACGTCGGTCCAGCCGCCCGTGAAATCGTAGCCCATGAGGTTGAGGAAGTCGAGCAGTTGCGCTACGACCAGTAAGTTGAGATGCTTGAGGCAGTACTCGCCAGTGGGAAGAGCACTTGTCAGCAGGTATTTGGGAGCCGGAATGGTCTCTCGGATGGCCTGCAGGTACAGAACATAATTATTTCCAGCTTCTGGAGTCTGAGGGTGCTCCCAGTCAACTGTTGCAGGTTAGACTTGAAGCAGCTTTCGACTGAGTATCAACATACTGTCGACTCCATCGAAATGATGGGTGTCACAAAATTCCTTGATCTGACGAGCAAAAGTTTGCCTCGCTACTCTGCTTGCTGCAAGTGCAGGAAATTCCTTGCTGCTCGAGCCACCACCGATCGAGACGAGTGTCTTTATATGAGGGTGCTGGCCTTTCAATTTGCGAAGTGCCGCGAGGCAGCCCTTTTCGCCATCGACTGCTTTATTGTTGTCGGCCCAATCATCGATGGACTACAGATGAAGTCAGTCAACAGTATAACTTAACTACAGGGTTTCGAGTGAGACTACGTACTCGAAGTGTGCCATCCTCGTTAACACTGCTTGCGTTAGCTTGAGAGAATCATTTTTCTTTGGAAACATACCCTACAAAGGCGTAGAATATGTGAGTGATTGAAGCAGTGTCTAGGCATGAGGGAGGACGCTCTTTGTAGCAGCGCCACGAGGGATAGTAGACGGCGTTGATGTATTGGGTCGACATTTTGGACAGACGCAAATAGCAATGAAGAAATCGAGAAATAACAAAAGGAAGAGGCCCTAGAAGAGAATGTTTTAGGTATCAATAAGCAATAGTTTCATGTTGTACAGAGACTCAGCCCGGGCATTAGTTGACCCACAAGTGGCTGTGGTTGATGATTGGACCTGGTCTGTTTTTGTTGGCCTAAGAGAAGGTAGTCAATAATCTATTGGAAGAGGCGTTAGCTAAACAGCTCGAAAAAGAAAACCTGTCTCATTTATAGTTGTCACGAAAGGAAATATGAGATCATCGGGCACCAAAGAAGAAGCGGAATTGGCAAGAAGTGGCCAGCGAGTCGACCAGTACGAATTCAGTTGCCACTTACACAAGCCATCAGCAACAACAGCTTCGCATCACGTAATGTAATGCAGTGTGTTTTATGTAATACGGTCATATTGACAATCTATGGATATCTGCGTTGCCATACTGTGAATCATTGACACCACCTCTCAATATCAACTCCATCCAGCTCATCCAGGATATCAAAGCTCATGTCCGTCTGCCTGGAAGCCACAACAATAACATCGAACTTTCCCAGGACATCCTTTCTCCAGTCTTCATCTAAGAGACGACGTACTTGAGGTAGTGCAGATTGCTTGACCAAAGAATCTGCCCAACATACATCCACTTCACGCGAAACAGCAAGACTCTTGACAAGATCTGCTCCTGGGGAGTTGTCGATCTGTGACTGGCCAGCTTTGAAGCCTATGCCCGCTACAAGAATCCGAGGTGCTCTTCCTGAAACTCTTTGTCTCACTCTCTTGAGCATTCTCTCAGCTAGTCTTGATGGTCGAGCATGCATCGCAAGTGTAGCGCACTCAAGCAGAGGGAAGTGACTGTTTGACAGAAGGTAGAAGGGATTAACTGGGATGCAGTGTCCTCCCACGCCAACACCAGGGGAGTACGGCATATATCCGAATGGCTTTGAAGAGGCTGCCTCGCAGACTTCATATGGATTGATGCCGTGTGGGATACAAGCATCTGCCATTTCGTTGGCGTAGGCAATGCAGATCATTCTCTGGCAGTTTTCATAAAGTTTCATCATCTCAGCTACCTCTGGCTTCGAAACAGGAATAACTGTCTTGAAAATAGTGGAATAGACTCTGTTTATAGCGTCAAGGGAGCCAGGGGTGATATCGTCCAAGCCTGAGATGATTTTTGGGATGGACTGAACAGGAGGTTCGACGCGGCCAGGATCAACTCGCTACGAATCATTAGGATATAAACCGGAATGTAAGGACGAAGGAAGACTTACCTCAGGAGACATGCCGGCAAAGAACTGGCGGTTGGCAGCCAACGGGCCGAGTAGTTGACGGGTCATACCGACCGCCACAGAGCTTTCAATCACGACCGTTGACCCAGAACGAGCCACTTCACCTACAGTCCTTAACGCATCACGAAGATAGGACGAGTCTATGGTTTTGTCAGGCCTGAGGAGTGTTGGTACTGATATCAAGAAGTGCGTAGCTCTTCGTAAGTCTTGTGACTCCCGAGAGAACCGCACGTTCTGTTGCCCCTGATACTCAATACCAAGGTCCTCGATTCTCTTCGCAGAAACGTCAAACCCAATGACTTGATATTTGGAGGAGAATGAGCTGACAAGATGTGTGCCGACATAGCCAACACCGATGACTGCAATGACTGGCTCATCATTCTGGCTGACCTCAACGGACTGACAGAGCGACTGATCAAGATCATCTGTATCTGATGATGGAGAGCTCAGGGGAGGGCTGTCAGGATAAAACGTCAAGCTATTATCGAGACGTTGCCAAGGAGAAGAACCTCCGAGGGGTGTCAATGGAAGTATCTTTTTCTCAGCCAAGGCAGGGAGACCAGCCATTGGCTTTGGAGGCATCACTTGGGCCATTATTGTTGAACAGACAAGAAGAATACAGTAAATGAGATATGAGTCAAAGCATGAATGTAACTGACCGACAGCCTGTGAAGAGGCATCTGGTTATATGCCCTCAGCCATTGTGCTTCCCGTATTCCAAGCTCTATTGCTCAAGATCCCTAGCTTCTGCCTTGGATCCTGAAGATCACTCAACTTTCTCACAGCAACACCAAAGCGAGCCGCCTCTCTCAACGGTGTTTCCACGATGAGATCATCACCCTCATGAAACAAATCACCTCTACCGTTTCTACCAATTTTCTAATCACAATGCTGATCCATAGGAACCAAAGGTACCCAATCGCGAGCATTAACCAAAATCGTCCGGGATTTAGATTCAATCTCCTGGCTCCGCATTCCAGTCGATGTTGATCTTTTCCATTATAAGCCTATGGGAAGCCGACCATCTCGATCTAGTAAAGTGTCTCACCTAAGGAGATAAACGACGGAAGCTAAGACAGGCACTGTTGGTCTTGGCACGACTTCTGCAAGGGCAACACGAGGCTACGTTGGATTAAATCTGACGCCTCCCGAGCGGAAGTTCTGGGAAACGTTGGAAAGATGGTGTTTAGACGGTTTCCTCATGTTGACGCATCAGTGGCTGTAAGCTCTGCTGCATGTTTTAGAGCGTGACCAGGTTAGTCGCATCCACTCTGTTTGCTGTTTGTTAGAATTAACCTTTGTTAGTATCACCGTTCACTCCTCGTGGTGTTGAGGCACCTCGAATCGAGGGGATGTGTGTTAACAATCATGTGTTGTTAATTCAACATCGGGAAGATCACTTTATTGAACTCAATTCATAGGCTGGAAATGTTCTTCGCTGTCTAATTTCGGACAGCAATAGTCCAATATAGTAGGTATCTATGGAACAAGAAACTAGCATTGGACGACACTCCAAAATATCGCTACGACTACAACATCAGTGATCTTAGATCCACGCTATTTGTAATATCCAGCTCTTATTATATCTAATAGACCTGGTTGTTCATCATTATGTCATTAATGTTTGCTGTATTTCGGAGCTTTTCTCCGCGGTAGGCGTCGATACGGTGAGCCCGAATTTTGTAATCACAATCCCATGGCGTTTCTGTACAAGGTCAAAGCTATGCCTCTAAAACTGACTAAGTAGCCCTAGAAAGGCAAGCTATACAAGATAAAGAGTTTTCTCTAGTTCGACACATGGGAAACTTGTTTGCCATTGACCCGGCCCTTTAACACCAAAACTCCACCCATAAACAACAAATTTAAGCATGAAGACGCCTCATGAGAGCATATTGACGAGGTGTTGCAAATAAATTCAGTCTAGGGCCTGTAGAAATACTGTTTGATTGGGCTGCCAGTGGTCTTACCGAGTTTTTCATGGCGTTTGGCTCATGACTGTCAATATTCACGACTCACGTCAAGTTCCACTCACGTCTACATGGTACAAGAAAGAAACAGGAACTTGAATATAGTATCATGTAGCTAGATTAACATCCGTGTTAGGCAAGACTTCAACATGCTAATCACGACTGGAGAGTCTCTATCTGGTGAGGAACACACCCTCTTTCACAACTTGTAAGGCCTAAAGACAAGTTCTAGCTAGTTCAGGTGAGTAGGCGACCTGAACAGGAGTTCCTAAACAAGTTTGGGGCTGTATAGAGCTGGATAATGGGCTAAGGAGTGTTTGTTTGTCTCCAACGATCCCACGGGTGCATGGATAATGAGTGAAGTGGTGGGCACTACGAGACTTGGTAGAAGGTGATGTATTTACACAAGCTGTCAGAGTGACACAAGCATAGCTTAGCTATTCTAAATAAAACATAAATGAAGAATATGTTTACAATAAAGAGTGGCAGCTTATAAAAGACTTGCTAAGCCTCTGATTTCCCAATTCCAACATGGAACCTCACTAGAAGGCTTACCGCATTCCAGGTAACCCAGATACCTGGTTTCAGAGGACCGTTAAAAAGTTTCTCTCAACTACCGGACGTTGCAAAACCTTGCCAACCCGATCGAGCTGGTTCCCTCGATCGGCGGAGCAGCAAGTCTTACGTCTTGGCCCGCGAGAAACTAAAAAGCCTCTCCACTTGACGGCGTGACGTTGGTGGCATCAGAGCCAACACCAGCTTCGACGGTAAAGGAACGTTTGCCTAATTAGCAAACTGCTTTTCTTTAGTTTGAGTTTCGAATTACTTAGTAGCGGATTTACTAATCTGGTCATGATCATCATCGCGATCAACTTCGGACAACCCTCTCAGTGTAAGATGAAGCCCCATTTGGGCTTGGTGATAGGGGTCAAGACACAGAACAATCTCTTTTGAGCGATCATGACGAGAAAATTTTGATTCAAGCGTGGATTTATCGACGCCAGTGGAAGATGTCCGAGCTCATGATCACGTCAGAGTTGACGGTGAGAAGTTGGCAGACCAGGCAAAATGGAGCTCGATCGAGGAAGAGAAAGGAGTGTTTTTGTGATAGGGGTGAAAGATCGAGTAATGATGGTTATGTTAAGCTTAAGTCTCAGTATAACTCATGTCTTGATGTAGAAGTTGTCTGCTCCTTGCTATCTGCTCTGAAATTCTCCTTCATCCGTTCCAAGAACCATTGTCTGTTTGTACTACCAACAACATGGCGACTTTTCATGTTCCAGAAGCTGATACTACTAAGAGGACTGTAAGTCAACTCTCTCATTAGTAGGGCCTTGCTAACATGTAACAGAGTGCCTCCTGGAGAAGCCCAACCCAGCAGGAAAAGAGCTACCCCCCTCTCCCCTCGTTCTCTACCAAGGTGTCAAACAACAAATATGTTCACAGAGACAACGAGGGGCCCTTCCATGATGTATCTCTGGGAGACATCCTGAAGAGAACTAGTCAGGACGACGCAAGGTCGTCTGATGACAGCATTGACCCCTCACTGTTTACTTCCTCCCTCTCATACAAGTCTTCCTTTGCCCAGACATCTGTCTCCCAGTTCTCGTCCAACCCTCCCACCAAGCCAAACAGCCCTTCTCTTGGAGAGTCTTCTCGCCAAAGAGACCTCATAATTCCTGGCCCAAGGCTACCCGACCCGGTAGCTCGACGACGGGACAGCGGGTCTGTGTCTAGTGTTGAAGATGCCTCGGTCCAGGCCGTCGACTACACTGCCACTGCCACTCAAACCTCTCCCCGAAACTCAATTCTGAAAGAGAGTACCGCTTCTGCTCCCAGGGTTGAGATTGATTCCGAGTCTCAGAACTTGGATGAGTACCTGAGGAAGTATGGTCAGAGGAAAGTCACTCGGCAAAAGCACATCATGACTGCGTTTCTGATTTCTGTCAAGTAAGTCTCAACACTCCTCGACAAGTTTAAGACAACTCTGACATCATCAAGTTTTATGTTCATCTTTGCCTCTTGGTGGTGGCCTCGCTATTACTATGTCTACATCCCATTCATCTCATTCCCCCTTGTTCTGAATTGTATAATGATCGCCTCCATCATCTGTTTCACTCTCAAGAATCTCATATCTGCTGAGAAGATCATTGAGCCTGGTCACCTTGAAGACCTCATCATGATCATGCCTTGTTATAATGAAACCCTGGAAGAATGTACCAAGTCTCTTGATTCTCTGGTTGATCAAGTTGGCATTGACAACCACAAGAGGGGCATCATGATCATTTGCGACGGGCGTGTCCGCGGGCCAGGGATGGAGAAAACGACAGCCCAGTACCTCAATGAAGACATTTTCGTCGAGCAACTCCACCGTGAGAAGATCACCAGAGCTTATAGAGCCTGGGATGGTCAAGCCATGGATGTCGAGATCTCGTGGGGCTACTACAAGGGCATCCCATTCTACTGCATTGTCAAAGAGCAAAATCAGGGGAAACGCGATAGCCTCATTGTTATCCGCTCGTTTTTGTACAAGTTCAACATTAGAAACACCAACCCCACGACGATATTTTCTTCGCAATTTCTGCTCTCAATGACCGACTGGCTTACACAAGAGGTCAAGGTCAATCAAGTGGACCATTTGATCGGCATGGATGCAGACACCATTTTTGACAAGGTCTGCATTTCAGAGCTGCTCAAAGAATCAAAATACCCAAATACTGTGGGCGTTTGTGGCTACGTTGCAGTCGATTTCAAGGACGGCAATTGGAATCTGTGGTCAATCTATCAGAATGCCGAGTACACAATTGCTCAAGGCTTGAGACGACTGCACCAATCCATTGCCACCAAAAAGGTCTCATGCCTGCCAGGATGTTGTCAGCTGCTAAAGATCTGCGACATGACTTGTGGTGACAAGGTCCTGGTTGAGCTGTTTGGGTATTATCCTAGACCCCTTGATGGCATGATTACACGCATCCGAGCCACTGCTTCTGAAGACAGAAATCATATCTGTCAGCTTCTTACAACCTTCCCAGAGGCGCAAACTCGACAGGCCCTGAGAGCTCGAGCATACACGGATGTGCCCCATTCTTGGAGTGTTTTCTTGTCCCAACGACGCCGTTGGACACTTGGAGCTACAAGCAACGATTTGCTGTTGACGACAGCAAGACACTGCCAATGGTGGGAACGAATTCTGGCCTTTTCTAATGTGCTTACTTGGTGTCTTAATGTCTTTGTAATTGCTTCTATCGGATGCATGATCGTTGCTTTTATGCATCAGCCATGGTGGATTATCATGGCCTTTGCAGGCATCATGATTGTGCCACTCATCTACTACGTTATCATAGCGGTCTGGCTCCCTCAGTCGATGCTGGAAAGATTTCAGTATCTTTTGGGTCTTTTCATATTCGTTGTTCTCGGGCCATTTTTGAACATTGCAGTCATGGTATTTGCTGTTTTTAACATGGATAGCTTTGGCTGGGGCAAGACTAGGAAGGTCATCGCTGAAACAGCTGAAGACCAGGTTCATGAAAAGCAAAGACTAGAGGGCTCTAGCAGTGGCTCGAACTCACCACAGCTGAAAAGTGGAAATAGTCGGGTCGATGAGACTGCAGGGGGAGTAACAGTCCG